TAATTAGTTCCACCCGAGAAATCAGAAGACAAAGAAAAATCCCAAAGTGATTGTCCTAATCCATATGCATGTTCAACCTAATACTTGGGCAAAAAAGCCAGCTAGGAGAAGGCAGAGAAGCGCAATATACTCAGTGCGTCGCTATTTTGTGGTAAAATAGCCCAATATATAACAGTGGAGTATATAGCCCAATATATAACAGTGAATTGTCACTTTAGTGACTATATATGCGCGATTAATAAACAAAACATATTCTTTATCTAATTTATATATAGGTTTTCAGGAATGGAAAACTTCAATTTTAAGTAAAAACGCTGTATTTTTTATCCATTCTACTGTCAAGAGGCTTTTTGTTTTTTTTGTTGGGTGGGTTTTTTGTTGTTTGGGTGGGTGGGTTTTTTTTTGGTGGCCGGGTGGGTGCGTGGGTGGGTGGGGGTGAGGTGAAGCCAGAACGCCGGGGGTGAGGTGAAGCTAGAACGATTAAATTTCCAGGATATTCTTTGCTTGCAAATGACCTCACTACGTGTCATTAGGCGCCATCTTGGTTGATTTTAAAGTTTTGTCCAGCCGTTTACATCGAAATAGTTGAGTTACTTTAATATTTTTGATTTAATTGTTTTGAAAAAATCTTACTACATTATGGATAGTTTACAATTTCTGGTACAATACGCAAAGAATGAAGAATATATATTTTTAGTTGCCACGAAAACCAACCAAGATGGCGTCGATTGCAAACGAGCAATATGGTTGGATTAACCAGATTATGTTAGGTGGACATTAACCAAGAATTATATTCCTGGTTAAATTTAAGCAAGAATCCTGGTTAAATTAGCCAGGACTATTATCACGTTAACCAGGATTGTGCATCGGCGTACCGGAAGGAAAAACATACGGGGGCGGAAAGAAATTTGCCCGACTTTTTGGGATTGTGCCCGACTAGCACCTAAAAAATTTTTTCCGGAAAAATTATTTCGGGGACCTCCCCCCCCGTCCCCCAAAATTTTTCGGTCAGTGTACCATTTTAGGGGTCAAAAAATTTTTCCGGACATACCAAAATTTTTCGGAACGTCACACAAGTTTTCCGAACAACACAAAATTTAGCACAAAATTGACTGAATTTTCGACAAATTGACAGAATTTGTCCCATTTATTTTTATTAGAAACCAAAATTGCCCGACTGTTGATCGAATATTGCCCGACTGCCAAAAAAACTGGGGGGGGGGGGGGCTACGGCCCCCCGCCCAGTACGCCTATGGGATTGTGGTTAAATTAATCAGGGGCCGGTTGTACAAAGGCCGGACAGCGCTATCCACTTGATAGTCAAATTTTCAATCGGAATAAGCGTTTACTAACATAGATAATGAGTTATATGGTTATTCTAATGAGTTTCACAGCCATCTTCTCTTCGATTGGCTATGATCAGGCTTGAGGGTCAAAAATCGCTATCCGGTGCATAGCGCTATCCAGCCTTCGTACAATCTGCCCCAGGAAATTTAACCTCAAACATTAATTAAAGTTACCCCGAATAGGGTTAAGTACTATTTAAAACACGAGTAGGAGTGTTTTATCAGATATAAAACGCGAGGCGCAGCCGAGCGTTTTATGTCTGATATAAAACACGACAACGAGTGTTTTGAATAGCTTAAAATACGACTACAAAAGAATACTAATTAGGATGGACCATTATATAATCATACTAATTGGGAGATATAAAGTCACTCCACGTGACATATTATGACTGACATGATTTGCCGTTTATGAATTATTAATGAGTATTTTAATTAATTTTATGTCGGGTGAACCAGGAAATTTTTAACTAGTTTTTAACCACACTTTTTCAGAGTGTACAACAATACAAGAGCTATAGTTTTATATCTTCTTTTTTCTCTTCCACAGGTAACTCGCCAGGCATCATTTTGATATTTATCTGGTTAACCTTACTACTGTTCGCGCTATTTTTACCAAGTGATCTTGCAGAAAACTCCGGAATTAATGAGAGATTGGTTATTGAGGAGAAGAATGACCATGATCCTGCCTTTTCTAAATCAATCGTTGACTATAGTCATAATGGTTCTTCTCCCTCGGCGATGGTTTGTGCAGAAACATCCGACAAAGTAACTGCGGTGGTTGAAGAAGATAGCGAGGATGATATTAGATTATCTAAATCAGTCGCTGAACCAGGTTGTCGTCCATCCTCAATGGTTTTTTGTCTATATTATCTAATTTGTTTATCTTTGTTTGTCTATATGGTTATTTCATTTTATGTTCCATTGCTGGCGAAATACCATCTTGGATTGGGACTTACTTATGTGAAGTTAATTTACGTTAACAGTTCTTTGTTCGTTTCCGTTTTATTCTTCGCTACCTCTCTCTTCTTGGAAAAAATCTCCGAAAACAGTTTTCTTTTTGTTACAATTTTTGCTCAGGTGATCCCAATTTCAATCACGTTTTACTTCGGTCTTTCTTGGAACAACACGATGTCGGTCAATGAAAGTTATCTTCTCGTTTGTTCGATGTTATTTCTAAGCGCCCAGTTCTTAAATACCCCTATAGCCTCGTCCGTGCTGTCGAAAATCACACCAGTAAAGAGCGCTTCATTTTATCAAAGTCTTACGTACACTGCAGTGCATTTGGGAATGTGTCTTAGTCGTCTTGCAGCGGGGGCAACGTTTGGTAAAATGGCAATGATATACACTAGTGCTGTTCTCGCATTTTTTTGGTTATTTGGAATATTATGGTTGGGTTATGAATATCGCAACTTTGCTCGACTTGTTACTAATACTGAAGTTTGAAAATATCAGTACTGCATGGATACGGCTCTTGTCTTAGTACTCATGGGAACTTGTTTTAGTACTGTGTACTGAGGATCAGCAAGCTACAAGCTATAACCAGATGCAATGCAGAAGCTGTGAAAATCCTTGATTTCATTGGTCAATATAAGCAATCCAAACTTTGTCTTCGCGTCCTAAACGGAGATAAAATTGTAATGTATAGCTGAGACTTGAAGTGTTAATTAAAAGTACTGTACATAACAATATTCAACTGTTCGATCTCCAAAAGTGTGTTCTATACATTTCTACATATTAATTATATATATATATATATATATATATATATATATATATATATATATATATATATATATATATATATATATATATATATATATATATATATATACCGGCTGGGAGGTCCGGATAGAAAAATATTTTGTCGAGGTCTCAAACAAAATATTTTTTATCCGGACCGACCTTAACGGTAAATAACGTATTTATATTTTTTTGTCGAAGACTCGGAGGCAAATGGCAAAGGTTTTATTAGATTGCGCATATAGAAAACAAAACAATTAAAAAATTTTGATATTTAATTATTTTACTTTAGAAAACAAACAATTCAATTAAAATACAGTACAATTATTTTATCCATCACTAAAATTATTTCAAAACTACACATTCATATTTTCAGTTTTAAAACAAACATACAAAAATTTTTTGCTTTGCTTCGGCCATTACGTATAGCATTCCGGACCGTGGTCCAATATCGTAAAATTCCGCCCGCTGCTGCAGCCAATCAGATTGCAGAAAACGCTAGGATTCCGCCCGCTGCTGATTTACAAAAAAATAAATATTCTTCTTACGTTTCGAAATATATCAGTATCTATCTGGATACGACAACCTTTTTCTTAACAGGTGTATAATATAATTATACTGTATTTTCTATGATATTCCCCTCACATTCCAATCTCGTTCCCAGAGTATGCCTGTTCGCGGGTTAGGTAGTGGCATGCCACTACCTAACCCGCGAACAGGCATACTCTGGGAACGAGATTGCTCACATTCCAGCCTGTTTGCGGCGGTTTTCTCTTTGCCTGCCTCAGCCTGACTCCTCGTTGAGAAAATTCGGCCTCGAAATCAGTTTGGAAAAGCGGGATTAAAAACCTCATTGTATCCGTCTGAATATTAGGCATAACTTATTTGACTGTATGTGAAGCAACCAGCAAGAGACGAACTTAATATATTGAACAAAGTATGATCCCCGACTGGGCGTTAAGGCCGGTTTCCATTGCAGTCGCTTTGCCTGCGCGGGCGGAGCGGGCTTTTAAAATCTGCTCACGCGAGCGTGACGGGCGTCAACTAGGGCGTCAACTAGGGCGTCAACTAGGGCGTCAACTAGGCGTTCCACTAGGCGTTCCACTAGGCGGAATTTTCCGCGCGGAGTGGTACAGTTTCTTTGTCTTGTGATTTCTCGGACTCGGATGGAACTAATTAGAAAAGACAAAGAAAATTTCCGCTCTGCGCGGAAAATCCGCCTAGTGGAAAATGGCCTTAATTAAGCCCGGGACAAGGGCACTAATTCCGCTCGGCTATTTTCACCCAGGAAAAGGAAAGCATTAGAGAATTCTAAAATCTGGCGCACAATAATATTTCACTAAAACAATACTCAAGTAATCGTATCTAGTCATACCATACACTTCGAACAATTGACAATGGAACAATTTACAATACTATTTGTCATTCGAATTTTTGTCAAATTCTTTATTATCACTCTCACTATCATAAGATCAGACCTAAATCCCAGGCCCCACCAATTTATTTCGTCTTGGATCTCTTTACGGGGTACGTTTGTTTATTGGGGCGCTTCCATTTGATGGTCAAACCGGTGAGACCAGAATTTCTGCATGCCCTAGCGAAATGAGCCTCCTTCTAATTTGATCCAAATTTTCCAGTCAAATATGTCAGAAGCCCCATTCTGACTAGACTTGATCCAAGTCTCTCTTGGCTGTCTTTCATTGTCATATAGTATCGGTCCACTATAGTGTACACTACATGACGTAGTACGGGGGGGGGGGGCGGAGCGAGAAAGAGAGACTTGTCAACTTCGGAAAATCTCGGTTCAAAACTGAACCGAAAATGCAAGACTTGCTTTAATTGTTTTCTGTCAGTGTTTTATGTATTGATCTAGTACAGTCTAAATAACATGAGTTCCATTATAGTAAATAATACAGAAAGAAATTGAAGGAAAACAATTAAAGCAAGTCTTGCATTTTCGGTTCAGTTTTGACCGAGATTTTCCGAAGTTGACAAGTCTCTCTTTCTCGCTCCGCCTCTCCGTGCTACGTCATGTAATGTACACTATAGTGGATCGATACTATATGACAATGAAAGAGAGACTTGGAGCAAGTCTACATTCTGACCAGTCTGACCCTGTTAATTAATGGAAGCGCCCTAGGACTTCAGAAAAACGTCCGTGCGCTTTTCTGGTGGCACCTCGGTGGCATGCGTGCAGCGTTGAATAAATGCGTCACTGATCTCAGCCAATCAACGTTGACGAGAACACACACAAACAACCGTGGTCACGTGATACAGTGTATTTTTTCTTGGCACGTGGGGTTGATGTAGCTTGGCGGACCTCGTGCGAGGAATTTACTATGAATTGTACTTGTGTTGTAAATTTTTGTCGTTTTATTCCGTCTTAAACTTCTACGAGGTGTTCTTCGTCCATTTGTTTGCTTTATTTTATCAACCGACGTTTTTAAGTGTCGTTTTATCCTCGCCCACTGTGTATTCTGTAGATATTTTATCGTGTGGCCGCGTGAACTCATTTCATCTGCTTGGAATTTATTACATTCCACCAGTTTGCTATTGGAAATAAATCATGGGAGATCTAAACGGTATGCTTTTCATCGTTATGTATTGTAGAATGCTATTGAAAAATTACGGTTTTGATTCGATCGATTTTGACGACAGCGCTCGCGTCAGCCCGAGCAGACCTTGCAAACGAACTTGGTTTATAATTTTTGAACAAACGTTGGCTTTGTTTAGCCACAATATATATGCAACTTTGATTGCCTTGTTCGAGATCTAGTATAAAGTAGTCTTCAAGACGTGATTGTGGGCTATGTATAGCTGTGCGAGTGTGTTTGTCTGGGCCGTTTCTTAGCCAAGACAAAGGTACGATGCATGTGAAATTTGGACAGGTCGTCTTTCGATCTGCTGTAGCTTCGTTTGTACATGCTCTGCGGTTCGTAATTTTCAAGGATAATCAATACTTCTAGCAATCGATCTAAAATTGAGATTGTATGGAAGCACTATTAGTTGAACAAGTGCAGTTAATTTAGGCTGTCGTTACTTTTTCTATTGAATACCAAGCGGTGTTTACTGCAAATTTACGTCCGTGTTGCTTCCCTCTGTAGGTCAGGAGTTCATGGGCTCATCCGGCCAGAAAACTACGGTCAGAAGGTATGTGCCTTTTAAACATACGATCCAATGTGTTGTGTTTAAGTCCTTTGTGTCGTGTCGACTGCCTGAAGTTTATATGACATTTACGGTAATTTTATTGGACAATTCCGTTTTAATACGCGAATTTTCAATAATAAGATATGTCTATTTTATTCCGATATGTCAGGACTTGTCTTTGAGATAATATCCACTTCCGTCTGTACTTGTAGAGTGCCTGTTTCCCCATCTTTTATTGGGGATTTATCAGGGCACTTTGTGCCAAAACAGATTTATTTAAGTACATTGACATTGGTACAAGCTTTTACGAGTTTATCAATAAAAGTTGACCTCTGTCCTGTGACATATTTGCAACTACTTGTCAATATTAAATCGGGAGACAATGGCCCTCAGATCATCTGTCTGGGCGAACTTGGGCAAATGACAAATAGCTCAAGCCTGATAATTTGTCGGTGTACATGTGCAGGCGAACAGATGGATCCAAGGGAGCACACCAGTACATTTTGCGATCGATTTAAAAGTAAAATTTGATTGGCTTCTTTTACTTCAGGTACCGGCCTTAGGCTTTGTTTACAAACCGGTGAATTTGAATATGAATTTTTAAACTTCACAACAAAGTTTGGAATGAAATTTGCAACATTTAGGTGATAAAAGTTACAGTGTGAAATTGCAGGGCTTAAAAAAGTAGGTGTATGGATGTACGATTGTATGCCGAATTTAGCTTGGCGTACGCTAAGAATGGGTCATTCCAGAAAGCATCCATACCTCCCCCACAAAGGAAATTGGAAGTTAACCCCCCTACCCCCTTCGGACATCTTAATACACTTACCATATTTACTCGAATGAGCGCCGCCCCCGATTGAGCGCCGCCCCCGAATGAGCGCCGCATTAGAGATCAACTTTTTTTAAAGAGCGCCGCCTCCGAATGAGCGCCACACTAAACAGTGTAATAATTTGCCACCGTCAAAATGGGGACATTTAGTGACAAAGACATTCAAAACTTGTTTATTTTATTGTTAAAAGTTCTTCTTATAATTCACAAATAAAAGATTGTTTTAAAGAGTGCCGCCCCCGATTGAGTGCTGCCCCCGAATGAGCGCGCATCTGAAGCTCTGAAAATTTAAAGAGCGCCGCGGCGCTCAAACGAGTAAATACGGTACTATTATCAGAAACAATTTTTTCTCCCCTCCCTCTCCGGACGGCAGAAATCTGGGGGGGGAGGGGGGGATTGTGGATCTTTTCTGGAACGACCCAATTCCAGACAAGTATGATCACATACACTTCCTACAACAGACTCACAGAGCTGAACCGTTATCCCTTTCTGTTTGAATCCTTCAGACAATGAACAAACATTTGCCTCCATCCTGAAATATCCATTTATTTATAACAGTTAAACATGAAACATTGATCTAGAAACAACAAATTCACTGCTCGAATCCCGGACCACCATCTTTGTTTACGTCGTTTAAATCCAGCATTTCAAACGCATTTTATATGGGAATTTTATACGAAAACTAGTATACAAACAAAATCGTATTTCTACATCGATTAAACATATGTGAACTTGGTACAGTGTACGACCTCGTATAGCATTCCTGATTTATTTTTTAAGCCCTGAATTGACTGTAACTTTGTGTTTTTTATTTAATTTTTTGCCTTTGAACTTCAAAGTGTTTTCAATACCAAGCTAGCAAGTGCCTGCTTTGAAGGTTACAATCATATGGGCATCCACTGACCTACTGGATAAAATTACAGCTTTTGTAAAATGTGCACAAAATTTAAATAAATAGGGGCAAAGGAAACTGGTCATGTGATAACCTGAAGTTCAGGCCCTAGGCCTGACACAAAACCTGTCTAAACTGTGGGGAAATCTGATTGGTTGATCAGCATCATGAAAGATTTTGATTGGTTGCAAGTTCACATAAACAATAGTTTTAAAAATAGCTCGGGCAAGGCGTCAAACGCATGTATCAAATTCCATTATCGAATTTCTTTTATGCTTTATGGCAGAAAATAAATCAAACAAACAGTATTTTGAAAGGGCTTTATCAAAATCTTTGACGAAATTTGGACACACGACGTTGAAAGAACAGCAAAACTAGTCATGTATTCGAAAGCTTGTTGTTGACAGCCAAGATGTCTTTGCTGTTCTGCCAACTGGCTTCAGCAAAAGTCTTATTTATTAGATCCTACCGGCGTTGTTTTCTGAGCTACATCGCCTTCTTCGTGGTATGATTGAGAATTTTGTTCTTGCTGTTGTTAGCCCGTTAGAGTATATATGCATCCAGCAAGTTGAGACCTTGAGAAAGCTTGGCATTCAAGCCGTGCACAGAACTGACTAATTTAATCTTGGTTTGCTGTTCGGTTAAATAAAGAAACCGAACCTTAATTATATAAAAGTGTCTTGCAAAATGCACACTCTGCGGACATGTTCATGAGAATATAATTCAGGGACGCCGGAAAGGGGGTGCAGGGGGCATCACCCCCCTTGCCCTTTAGTAAGGGGGGCACGGGGGGCGAAAGTGCCCTTATAGATAAAAATTCTAACCCAAAAAATATGAGGTACAATGATTAAAAAGTATGGATTACGGGTGAAATGTACGTAATATTGAAATATCCGTGAAATTTTCTGGAATATTGTGTCAAAAATTGTGTTTAATTAAGGTGGCTCGCTACAGTTTATAGAAATGTTGAAAATGCTTAAACTAGATCACCTTTTTGAAGAGATGATGCTCTTTACAAATCGAAATTTGTATATTATATATACAGCGACAATCAAACAGTCGAAAATTGGTCAGAAAAGTGACGTCACCACTGTTGCTATGGCAATTTTAAAAAAATTCTGTAATGCAAAAAAAAATTATTTCGAAAAACCATGTTTATAAATTTTTAAAAATTTGGCATTAGGCCATATAAAAAAAAAAGTTGGTTAGCGTCCTTAGCTTTTGCCAAAAAGTGGGCGGGCGGGCGCTTTTTTTTTTAATTTTTACTAATTTTTAACGCCTTGGTTTTACTCACTGTTAGGTCCGAAACTGGATTTTCTTGTGCAGTACAGATATTTTTTTATATTATTTCAAAATATGATTCACACCGTCATTTTCGCACGCAATTTCGCAAATTATTAACACAATTGACTACAGTCAACATACATACTACATAGATTAGAGCCCATTGATCAATAAAAGTTGGGTTTTTTTAAAATAAAAAATAAAAAAAAAACCTGAGCGGGGCCTTTTTTGTGGGCGGGCGTGGAAGCTAACCAACTATTTTTTTTTATG